ACAAGTTCGAGCATAGTGCTCCCAACAACTACCGGCATAGGTGTGCCATGGACATTAAACATGATCTTTGTTTTGTCCATGTTCATCTTAAGACCTATCCGTTGGGAGAAACCATTGAGGTCATTGTGCTAAGGTCCTCCAGTGATTCTGCCATAAGGACTATATCGTAGGAAAATCGAAGGCGAGTGATGTACTCGCCATTGATGTTAATACCGTATCCTTTCCAGTCCAGTAGCTTGAAAACGTCTTCCGACGCAGCGGTGAAGAGTTTCGGGGATATAACATCACCCTGTCTTACACCTCTCTACAGTTGGATAGATTTCGAACTCTGGTTCTGTACTCGGATAGCCATCGTAGCCCTACGGTACAAACACTTCAGCACTTCGATATACCGACAGTCAACTTGGCACCGCTGAAGGGACTGTAGCATCGCCCAAATTTCGACGGAATCAAAGGCCTTCTCATAGTCCACATATGCCAGGCAAAGTGGCAGATTGTACTCCTCGGTCTTCTGTACAATCTGCAGCAGGGTATGTATGTGGTCTATGGTACTGAAGCCTTTTCGGAAACTGGCTTGTTCGGGAGGCTGGAAGTTGTCGAGTCTGCGCGCGAGATGATTGGTAATGACTCTCGAAAATAGTATGTAGACGCGGATCAGAAGGGAAATCGGTCTGTAGTTCTGCAAGAGAGCGTTGTCGCCTTTCTTAAAGAACAAGACCACCGCGCTTCTACTCCACGCCTCCGGAGTAGTGCCACCATGGAGGACGAAACTGAAGAGCTTCTGAAGGACTTCAAGTACCGGTGTTCCACCCGCTTTCAGAAGCTCCGCTGTAATTCCATCCTCGCCCGGGGCCTTGCCGTTTTTAAGGTGGTGGAGAGCCATTCTAATCTAGCTCATACTGACGTCCGGGATATCATCGGAATAGTGTCGAATAAGACTTGCTCTTGGATCGTTACTCACACTTGCGTGTGGCTCCAACGATGATGTGTACAGCTGCCCATAGAACCTCTCAATCTCACTCAGAATCTCAGGTGTCCCGGAAACGATGTTGCCACACTCAGTCTTCAGCTTTGACAGTTGGCTCTTTCTGGCAGACAGATCTCTGGCAAAGACTTTGGAGCCCTGGTTCCGCTCGATCGCTTCTTTAATACGAGTAGTATTAAAGTTGCGTAAGTCTCGCCGCATGCATTTGGAGATCTGTCTGTTCAGTTGCCTGTATGCTGTCAAATCTGTTGACGATTGCAGCCTCATCTCCCGTCTAACAGCCATGAGATTATGAGTGTGATTGGAGAGTTTTTGTGCTCTTCTGCGGTGGGTCTTTCAGAACCATTAGCTCCGACCCCATGGACAGTTTCCACAAGCTTGTCATTCATATCGTCCACTGCATTGCAATCATCTAGGCACTGAAAGCGGTTACGTAACTCGAGCTGAAAGGTTTCGGGATTCTGGATTAGAGCACGAGGGGGACGGAGCGTTGACACATTAGACGAGACCTCTCCAACTTAACGTTTAGGTTTATTGTGCCTCTAACCATTCGGTGATCGCTGCCAGTTTTCACCCTTGCGATCACTGATACATCACTGAACAGTTGGCGTCTGGTCGTCATAATGAAGTCAATCTAATTTTTTAGAACCGTTGCGGCTCGACCAGTTCCACTTCCTGTGGGGCCGCTTCTGGAATAAAGAGTTCATCATAAAGAGTCCCTTTTTCTCCATAAAGTTGGCCAGCTGCTGGCCCCTTCGGTTCCGTTGCCCCACTCTAAATTTCCTTACCTTCAGCTCACCGCTTTCTCTTGTGCCTAGTTTTGCGTTGAAGTCTCCCATCAACACCGTGTAGTGAGTTTTGGAGGAATGCATGGCTCTAGAAATATCCTCATACATTTTCTCCACCTCCTCATCGGGATGTGCCGAAGTCGGTGTGTATACCTCTATGACCTTCAGCGAATAACTTTTGGTGACTCTGAGTATCAGGTACGCGACCCTCGTCGACACAATCCCAATCTTTACAACGTTGTTGATGATAGACTTGTGGACGATAGATCCGACACCTCCTTGGGACAGATGGTCGCCCTCCCGGTGATAGAACAAGTTGCCGGACTCGAGGATTGCCGTGTCCTCCCCCTCTCTTTGGACCTCGAATAATCCAATAATATGCCAGCGCAACTCGTCTACCTCTTCTTCCAGCTCCAGTATCTTCTCGTCAGTCCTCAGGGTGCGTGCGTTATATGTTGCCAGGTCGAGTCGTCGTAGGTGGCAACCGAACCTCCTCCGGAGATTCTTAGCACCCCCTGCCCCGCCGTTACCATGGTCGCCACCGTAACCAGGAATAGCGGGGCCGCCGGGGACTGGGGGCCGTCTGTTTGCGTCGTTATTCATGGGGGAATATTTGCCATAGTTGCCACGCTTGGCGAGCGGGTTGGCAACCGCAGTTTTTTATTATATCACAGTTGTTATCCAGGAAGATGCTGCTGCCCATCTCCTGCCTGTCTCCCTCTGTCGCCTCTTACGACACCCACGGGAAGATATGGGGTAGTGGATATTCTCAACCGCCACTACACGGCAACGGTACACACGGCACGGGGAAGGAATGCGAACTAGTTTTTCGCCATTTCTGCCTGCCAATTGTTCTTTGACCTTGCCTTGGTAATGAATCTTTTGAAGGACCTAGATGCGAAATTATACTTCTTTTCTAGAGCGCTGTTGTTTATATCCCGGAACGTTGATGAGCCCAGGCTTGGTAGCACTCCTGCTTATAGCATGATGCTATTTTATAGGAGAGACCTTGGCTGAGATTTGCCTCCGATGGGCATCTCAGAAGAAGGAATAAAAAGTTATAATAATATTAATATATTATAATAATAATATTCTGTTGATTCAGTTTTACTGTTGAACACTCGGTTTCCCTCTGTACATGTTCACTTTTAAACAAACAAATAAATCCGCAACAATTGAAGAGTCGCAATGGTAATTTTTGCGCCTATCGTCATCGTTTTGGCAATCCAGTGACATTGACTACTGGCCTAAATTGTCAAAATCTAGATAACTTTTTCTAATGTTGCCAGTGCTATAATGGCCTAACCCTCATAGACTGGGGTATGGATTTTAGTCGATTTAAACATAAACCGAAATGGATTTGTACTGCCATCTATTGTTGAGATAATGTAATCAATTTTAAGCCGCTCTGGTTTTGTAGATTAACATTTTTAAATTACGAACTTGCAAATAGGTCAAAAGTCGTTAAAATGCATTTGGCCACTCTGGTTCTATCAGCCTCAAATAGAGTAGGATAGAGTACTATTAAAAATCATCGGTATAGAGAACCTTTATTTTAAATAATATATATATAGTATTATTTAATAATATATATATATATATATATATATATATATATATATATATATATATATATATAGTGTTATAACAGATAGGAAATTAGTTTAAATTTGAAATATTTGAACGTTCTTAATAAACTTAAATTCATTACGATTATCATCATAACAGCCTTTCACAAGTCCGATGCTGATCATAAACCTCTTCCAAGGAATGGCATCAATATACTTCTCGCATATTTTTACCAGGTGGTCCTGCTGGCCGCCCTACACTTCGCCAGCCCTCTGTTACTCTTGCTACCTGCGTGAAATAATTACCTACAATCGCCAAGCACCCAGGGTAACATACGCAGTCGGGGCTAGCGCGTTGTAGGCGATTGAATGTTAAAGTTCTTTAACGCTGTTTATGTAAATAGTTTTTTGTAAATTATCCTTGTTGAAATAGTTTTTGTTTAGTGTTTATTATATTTAATTGTGAAATAAGAAAGTTAAAAAGTTTTAATGTAATTTCAAAATTATACATATTATGTATAATATTACCTATTTGTTCAATTGTAATGGCAAAAACTCGTTCCTACTGTAAATGTTGCGTGCTAAATGGTCAATAAAAGGTTTCAGATATATCATTCTTCAAGTTACCGAAGGATTTTAGTAGGAAGTAATGAAAGCTGAATTTATTTCATTTTTAGGTACTTATAGCAAAAAGAATTAAGTAATAATTTATCTACAGAAGTAATACCTACGTTCTTTATTATTTTTTTATAGTAGGGGGGAGGGCAAACAAGCGCACATTACACCTGATGTTATGTGACTACCGCCGCCCATGAACAACTGCACCAGGGGAATTGCAGTTTTGCCGCGTAGTGCTTTCATGAAACTATCACAAAATTTAGTTAAAATTTGCTTCACTAACCAAGTATCTACTTAAATACCTATCTGTGTCCTTTGTAATTAAAATATTTTAAGTTATAATAACACAAAATACTGAAATTCAAACTTTGTTTACTAACAAAATTTTTAACTAAGTAGAATACGATCATTTTTTTCGGTTACGAATCGTATTTGAGGTTTATTTGTTGTTTCTTCCGAGCCAAGCATCGCGATTCCCGACGAATGGCCTTGCGAGTTCCATGCGTTGGGCATCGCAGAACTCATATATGTGCGAAAATATGGTCAGTCGATGATAGTTATAATAGGTACTTCACCTAAGTTACTTAATTAACATTTCGCAATGTATTTTTTAACTCTTTACCGACATCCCTTAGTAACCACGGAAAGTCCACCGTGACTTAGGAAGTGGAAAAGATGCAAAGTAATATGGGTACTCACGCGCAGCGATAAAGTTTTATTTAGCTTGCGTGCGATTAATCTAATTAATAATAATTATGTCGGCTATTAAACGTCGGCAAGCATACAATTATTTATTCTGTGATTTCGCTTACTGGTACATGATACTTAAATTGTCATTATTTAAATTGAAACAAATTTACAACTTTTTGTTACGAGGCTGCAATTTATCTTGTTATATAGAAATAAAATATAAACTTAGATTTAATAATTTATTTTAAACATTTACATTTATTATATACTTATTTAACGAAAAAAGGAGGTTACATTCAAGATATGTATTATACTCCGCGTTGACGACGTAATCTATTTATCTTTCAAGCTCTATTTAAGCTTGTTTTTTTGATACGATTTACCACAACTAACAATGGGATAATATTTATCAAGGATGATTTGGAAAAAATCAGGCGACGGTAGGGCATTAGATGGAAGGGACTGAATTTTATTTACAGTCGCTTCGTAGGTAGCCCGCTCTTCATGAAAATAAATATTTAGTATATTTAAGTCCTCGTAAAGTTTTCGTATGCGTCTTACATTCTCAGGTTCCCAACTACCGTAGCACGCTTCGAATTCCTTTCGTTGTGTTTTGTTGCAGCGCTGCAAAGCTGTTACTGCTAGCCAGGTGCATTTTCCCGCTTGGATATCCGAGCCAGTTTTACCCGTCCGTTTATCATCATCGAATAAATCTGTTAGGTCATTCTGAAAAAAAATGTAAATTATATTAAAAATAGAGAACCGTACTTTTTAAGTACGTAAAATGACACGTTATGTAGAATGGACTTCAATCAACATTTGCACATTTTAATGGAATCGAATTAGTATTATGTATAACGATAAAATCTAGATTAGATCCACTCCGAAAAAGATAATGACGAATCTAATACATTTCGCAGTATTCTAATAGATAAGGGTAAGGACTAAGAAAGTCACTAAGGTCATATGAGTGGACAATCGGAACAGAGACAAAGCTTCTTAAGAACGGGCAAAATTGTTACGTATTTTGGTAGGGTTGTCACAATATGTGTAGACAAATTAAACAAAACATTTGTTAAATCGTTTTATTATTCAGTATGATAGAATACTTTACAAATGACTTACTCTAATAATTTTCGTTTTAAAACTTTTGTTTTTTAATAATTTATTGTTTCTTTTGATGGGGTGGTAAATTCTGAATCTAACATAAAGTTTACTACAGCTATTGGGGAGTTCCTTTGTGAGGAGACTATCGTGTCTGCAGCAGCAATTTATGTTGAAGATCATGTTTAGCAAACAAAATTAAATTTAAATACAAAGTTTAGAGTCCATGCTATAAACCGTTAAAGAGTTCCCTCGTAAGGAGACAATGCTGCAGCAGCAGTTCATGATAAAAGTCGTGTTAAATTATCAAAATTAAATTAATATACAATATTTCGTGATCCTGCTACCACCCGTTGAAGAGTTCCCTATTGAGGAGACAATCCTTGTCTGAAGCATTAGGTTATATCTATCATATTATTGCATTGTCACTCAAGTTACGGTAAACAAAATTTCAACTCAATCAGATATCGGGAAGTGGTTTCATTCTTACTTGCAATATGTGAACTTAACACGCATACCTACTACATACCAACCTGCATACCTACAAATGTTTAGTAATATATTATGATAACAATAAAAAGGTAAAAACACCCGTGTTGTCTTCTTATTAAAAAAGGAACATACAATAAAATAAAGGTACTTACTTGAAAAAGTAATAATCAAATATTTACTTACCTATTGTACACCTTGGGATACTTGTAGTTAAAATATGATATATTATTATTTTTGCAAGTATTATTCATACACATAGTACAATAAACAACCGTTATTAGTAATACCACGTATTTAACAAAACATCGTCACTACCCTATATTTGTCAACTGGCTGCGCCAGCGTAACCGGTTTTTTCCAGTGTCACCGTGTACGCAACAAGCGGTCAGTGCTCACGCTCACATGCCCCACGTGCTTGTAGTAGTGCAACCTATTCGCGCGGTTGTATAAAGCTTTATTTTTGTTCTATTTATCTACTCATGTGCTTAGGTCTCGGCCATTCAACTATTGTCATGAACCACTCCAAACATAAGTATTTTTATCTTACGCGTAAACATTGTATCGAATATAAGTGAGTAATTTTATACCTCCGTGATAGAATACCTCGGCAATAGAATTTGATACCTCCGTGATGGAAATAACACTTGTAGCAAAACAATAAATATTATGTCCTGCGTAATTTACAGCTTGTCGTACCCCGCATGTCCCAAAAAAGTAGAAAATAAATAAAAAGTGCATTTCTTACATTTATTTGGGTCCAAATTCCGATGTCTGTCAATATATTGGTAATATTTCGTTGCGAATCCTTGTTGAACTTATTGCATAAAATTAGTGCCGATAAAACGGGGAATTTTATAGAAAAATACCCCAATTTATGATGCGCAATTATTTTATAACGTTCCATAGTAAAATCATCATAATTTCTATTTCTTGCAGTCATGGCATCAAAGTATTGTCCAACGTTGCATGTTAAAATTGCCTGTAAAATACATAGTTTTCTTGAAGGTCTTTAAGTATATGTAACTGTTAAGAAGCGCATGTAATCAAGTGCAACTACAAAACACAGTTGTCGGATTGCAAGTAGACATATCTGTAGATAGTATATAGATAAGTGTGTAGGGGGGTTTAAGAAAATTCACTACTCCATATAGTGCAGTTGGTGTTTAGGGGACGACAGTGGGAAACAAACCAGGAGATGGTCAGTAGCGTCTTCCTAACAGCTAGGAAATAAAGAAAAAACTGCGGTTGGCAACCCACCTGGCAAGCGTGGCAACTATGGCAAGCGTGGCAACTCTGGCAAGTATCCCCCTTTTGAGTCAATCTTTGGGCAGGCCTATGTTCAGCAGTGAACTTTGACAGGCTGTAATGATGATGATGATGATGAGTACATCAGCAACTTAGCTTTTATAACGGAAGTGTCAAATCGGATACCAGTAAATTGTGACGAGCAAATTGCTCTGGATTCGGTTTACCTTAGAATTTAAAAACAAAAATTTACACACAGTATGTGCAGCTAGAGATAGGAATTCCTTCTCCCCAGGAATGGCACAACACACACCCACCCATCGACTTTTACATGTCTTACCAGCGGGTCCTCAACTCTGCGCTCACTTTCTTATGGTCTATTTCTTGGCTGAAAAGACTAAAGTAGCTATGACCCGTATATATAGCTATTTCCGGGCTATTATGCTGAATGATAATGTGCTTCATCATTCAGTCTGCAATAAATGACCACGTTTCGGTTCCGTAAGTCATCAATGCCAACACGCACTAGCAATATACATTTTTAAGACTCTGAGGTTCAGAGAATAGACTTGTCGCAACTTCCGAATGCAGCCCAGTCGGGTGGGATTTGTCGGTTGACCTTGTTAGCCGCAGTTCGGATTTACGCGATTCGGTATTTTATGTCAGGTACAAATAACTCGTCAAGAAATTTTAGCTTAGTACTTCCAACAAATACTGGTTAGTTATTTTTATTTTGTCCTTATTCGTCTAGACCTACCAGCGTGCCTAGTGCGAGGTTTTAACGTGTTCGATCCCGAGAACGTTAACTACGATTTGTATGGAATAAAAAAGTGCCAACTAGTGATAATAATCGGAAACACTACAAAACAATTCATGAGCGCGAGTAATAAATCATCGTTAATGACCATCGAACATTGACTCTCATTCGACAGTGAGAACGCACGTGATTGGTTGTATCAAGTATTTTGCGAGTGCAAACAGCAATTTTTATCGTTCGTAACGTAAAGCCCGGTTTACATTTTGAGAAGTGACAAGTGCGAGCGGCAATGACAAGTGACAAATGACAAGTGACAACGAGCAAGTTGGTGTTCACACATGTGGCAATTAGATGTCATTATTATGTGAAATCTTCGAGTGTGAAATTGGGTTGGTAATTGTCAAAGAGGCGCTAGCACAGCTTTAAAGTTTAAAACTGGTATCTCATCATACAATTTTACCTTTTTTTGATTAAAAAGATGTGTGAAGTGCCTTATTGCAAAGATATTGGTGCACACCAATTTCCTAAAAACGCTTAAGTGAGAAAAATGTGTCTTAAAGCTATAACAAGGAAAAAATTTAAGCCTGAAAATAATATGGCTCCAGCCCTGACCTACAGGAGTCTTTAATTTTCTTCTTTTCTTGGTAATATGTAAACTTAATGCTTCTTAACTTCGCATATACCTACTTCTTTTGCGCCAAAACCGGCCATTCCCATTGCCCGAGATTTTGAGGGCATAGCAGCGTCTCGCATCATTTAATTTTTTTTAATTCAGCGATTTAATATTGTACAAACATTCGTGTTTCAATAATTCCTTGATAAATTTAATATTATTGCTATCTGACCACTTCGTAATAAAACAAAATTACTATAAATACGAGTACTTATGTATACAATATATGTAAATTTTTTTTATGAAATAACTATTATAACCAACACGTGTATGTTCTGTTGATGTCTTCCGCTAGGACTATGGTGTGTCCTGCAGGTTTCGGGCCTCGGGGTATGCCCCCATTACCCGCGTTATCCTCGCGGTCCACCACTATGGACCGGTCCTGGGAGCCTTCTATTGGCATTGTAAGTGTCATATACGGATTTGTCCGTAATCGTTTAATTTTTCGTAGTCGGTTAGACTACGAAAAAAATGGGTTATCTGGTGAAGTCAGAGTTGGCCTATCAGCGGCATTGTGGGTTGTTACTTCGACTACTACTACTACTCGACTCTCTAATCGATATAGAGAGGAGTTCTCTTGGATAGGGTCGTCCGTCCGGAGGGCGAGTGTGTAGCGGCGCAAGTTGATTAAGATGTATGTGCGGCCCGTTGTCTGCACGGTCGAACAATCCGCGCGCCAACCGGGCCACAAACTCCTGGATGGTGTCAATCTTCAGGTTGGCCGCTATGACGTCATTCCGGACGTAGCGACCCGCACCGACGATGGTTCTTAACGTCAGATTTTGCTGGGTCTGCAGTCGCCGCCTCAGAGGCTCGCTCAGAAGCGCGTACCAGGCCGGAGCAGCATACGTGATGATGGACCTTATATACGTTTTGTAGACTCGCACTTTGGTGTTAAGTGGTAACTTGGATGCCAGGACCGGACGGAGCATCGCCCGCGCACATCGTGCTCTGCGGACGACGAGGTCAACGTGCGCAGTCATGCGCAGCGCCCGGTCGATCCGGCACCCAAGGTAGATTACGGCCTTCTCGTACGCGATCTTCTGGCCATTGAGGGTTAGTTGAGGTGGTAGGTTCCTGAGGCGCCGAGTGAGCAGAGCGGTCGTCTTACCAACGTTGACGACCATCCTCCACTCATCTAGCCATGATGGCAGCAGGTCCAGGAGACGTTGCATCCTCGCAGTGGCAAGGTGGGCGCTTCTGGACGAGGTGAAATAAGCGCTATCGTCCGCTTATAACGCCAACTCCACGTCATCCTCCCACTCTTGTAGTCTTCCTGCCAGGGTAGGGATGTCGTTGGTATAAGTCGCGTACAGGACTGGAGACGTATGTTCTGACGTCGCCGCTAGAACGGGGGCGGCAATGGGTGACTGAGGGGAAAGCAAGGTTAGCGCGGGGCAGAGATACTTGTCAGAGAATAGATCAGGCCGCTATTCACTTGTTACTTTTCATTTCGCACTTATCACTTGTCACTCGCACTTGTCACTGCCTGTTCACACGCACTAAGCACTTGTCATTTGTCACTTGTCATTGTCACTCGCACTTGTCACTTCTCAAAATGTAAACCGGGCTTAACTTATGTAAACTTTACGATCGAAAAAAGTTTTCACGTGGATTTTTACAGTTAGTAGAGGGAGAATTATTGTTGAATAGTTAATTTTATTTCGTTTTATGTGAACGATGTATAATTATGGCAGGACGTTTTTTTTGCTTAGAGGATGTTTGCAGACACTAAGACATAAACAACTAATAATTATATACGACTACTATCATAACGCCAGTGTTGTCCCGATGATAGGCAATTTAAGGATAGATATCGCATTTTTCATTACAGTGTTCAAGTTTTGTGTTTAATAAAAAGGCCTACCATCACTATTCAATAAATAAGTCAATTCCTCTTCAGTTCTTCCTACAGCCCACTCTGTCGCTTGCATTAGACAATGCTTTGCTGAGGCCTCCATGCCTAAAATCCAATAAATTCTAGTCCGTGAAACCTAGTTTTAAAACAACACGTATTAAAGTTCACTTAACACAAAAAATTTAAATTTTATTTACTGCTCCAAAAAATGTTACCATAAAACATATTAGAACGAAAAATGTTCATGTTTTTGCTTTCAATTATGTACAATTAAATGGCTACTTCACAATCTCATTGTACTAACACAAACTGTCGAAACCTTGATTAAAATACGAAACATAAACAAATAGGTAATAAAGATCGCTATAATAAACACTAATATAAAAGGTAGATACTAATAAAATAAAAATGTCATTCTGAATATGGTTAGTTTATCTCACGAAGCGAACATGCTAAAAACATAACCATTCGCGGTGAGCAAACGCGAGTCAAAAGGTTAGCTTCGATTGTAACACGCTCGCTTGTCTCCTCTTACTAGGGTTGCCAGATCGGAAGACTAAAATATCTGGATAAAATTTGAAAATATCGGGATTTTGGGGTTGTTGTCAGTAGAAATAAATATTAAACATAAAAATGTAAAATAAAAGGGTTATTTTTTAAATTAATGAGATATTTTAACAAATAATATTTCTTTGTTGCCAGATAATTAATGTAACTACACTTAATTTTAGGGTTGCCACAGATATTTGGCATTGGACTTTACTGAATCCACCTATTTGGATCCTTTAGTGGAATTCAGAAAAGATTTAAAATTTAAACAATTTTCGTCAAAGTTCAGTTTAATTAACACCTCTGCTTTTATTAAGTCAATAGCAATACGATTTCTATCTTTGGTATATAAATTATTTAGTAAACTAAACACGCTTTCACAGTAAACATTGTTTACAGGAATTGACAACACAAATGATATAATTTTTTTTAATTTTTGATTGCGTTTTGGTTGCATTTTTTTAAATATGCCCAAATTTTATGATTTGAAATGTCTTTGCCTTGCGGAAGATGTTCAAATATTTCTCGAAGACAACAGTAATCAGTATATAAAGAATCTTGGTCAATGTCGTTTGAAATATTGACAATGTTGGGCATAACGCGGATAACTCTTCCCACGTAAACAAATTTGCACTTTTTAGAGACAATATAGCGAGTTTTTTATATAAAGAGTTCTCAGAAAATCAAAGTGTTCATGCAAATATTGAATAGCTCATTTTAAAAACTGTTCAGCTTCGACACAAAAAAGGTTTTTCTCACTATCCGAAATATTTCTTAATAAGGTTATATTTATACTACCAAAGAATTTATCGTCGAACCTATTTTTAAGATGACTCATCAGTTTTTTCATTACACTGTCAATTTGTAAGACAGTGCATGCATCGCTTTCCAATGCTAAAATTGTTGCTTGGAACTTCAAAATTACGTTGTGTACAAAGTATAAATACGCTTCCGAAATTCCTTCCCGTTTGCATTCGTCAACTACTTTACTATTATCAATATGGGTTATATTTCTGGTTACAAACTCCCATATCTCCTTTCGACATTCGTCTTTCCCTTTCAATAAAAAATACTGCTTTACAGTTGGCCAGTTATACATTAAACGATCTAAAGCAGGCAAAAGAGACAGCAATCTTGTTGGGACATGACGAAGAAGATTTTGTAATCGACACTCGCAAATAAGAAACATTATTTTAGTTTCTCAGTTTTTGTAGAAGATGAACTGAACTCATTGAATGTTTTTATCACGATGCTATCGATATCCACTGACAAAGCTTTGAGGGCGTATTTGACGCAATTGTTAATAACATGGCAGTTACAGTTTGCTTTAATCAGATGATCGTTTGTCTCTTTCAATTTTTGGAACACCGAATTATTTACATCATAATTTACCGAAGCGTTATCCACGCTGTACACAGTCAACTAAGGCAATTTTAAATCATTATGTGTCACTGTCTGATGTCACTGCCACTGTTTTGATTTTTTTATATATGTATATTGACAATTCAAATGGATCCTCATAAAAATCTAGCAGCTTTTTAAATATCCCTGTCTGTATTAAAAAATTGCATATCGTAAGATTAGGTTTTGATGTATCTAACATTAGAAGCATCGCTTCCTACCGAAAAATACTCAGCGTCCTTAAGTTCAGTAACGACTTGTTCCTGTGCATATGGGGCGAGCACATTGCGTAGTGCATCCACAAGATACTTTAGCAGAAATTTTGCTATCAGAATACACAGTAGAAGCTAGTTTCATCTGGCAGTCGAGGCTGTTATAACTTATACCATGAGTTACGTTGTGAAATAGATGCATTAATTTCAGCTTTTGATATCTCATTTCCCTCATCGCTATTTTTCTTTACCAAGAAATTTTGAAGATTACCTGATGCTTTCTGTGACGAATCCAGTTTACTATGTTTTTTTTGTCTGCTTAAATGTTTCTAAACCACGACTCCCCTCATACTTGATTGAAATATCAGTTTGACACAATTTACATACAACGGTAAAATCATCTTTTTTTTGTATCCACTTGGAGTAGTCCGGATGATTTTCCCAGTTATTATAATAAACTGTATAAAACTTTTTTTTTCTTAGATGATCCAGTTCCGGCCTCCTTGTCTATCTTTTCTGGTGATTTACATGCCGATATTATCTAAAACAAAACAGCATTACCGCTAAAGCCACACCAACAAGTCACATTACACCATGCCAAATACACCCAAGTATCACCAAGCCATAAAAATAAAATGATGTGAATTTAAATAAAATATTTAAATCTTCTATAGGTAATACGTAGCGAAATTTAAATGAAAGAACTTAGACCACTACGATTTGACCGCGATAGTATCATATAATTATATAATCTTGTTTATTCATTTAATAAACTTACTTATTCATTAAAATTTTTGAATTTTTCAAAAACTTAAAAAATTAAACATATCTATTTTAATTATGAATAATTTATTATGTAGGAACAGACGATAACGGACCAGTTTTCAATAAAAAAAGAAATACAGGTAGGTAAATTCGACAATCAATCGTTGTCGATCAATTAAATTCTGTAAGTAGATATTATTTGCCAATCGCGCGTAAATAATATAATATAATAATACATGCGTAGGTACTAAAATTGAGCTACCATAAGATCGTTCGACAATATGACATGCTTTAAAATTGAAATCATAAATAAATAACGCAGATAAAATATAAAAAAATACCTATTCTAGTTTAGTATCAATAATTTCCTTAAGCCAATATTCTTGTATTATTACGATTTATGTGGTTCCACCATTGAACGCCACCCCACCTGCCCCCAGCCTCCGCTTAACATGGGCCGGGGCTAGGTCCAACGCCAACGTTCCGTTCGAAAATGGAGTGAACGTGAAAGTGCGCAATTTTAAATTATTATTTTCTGTGTAATAAGAGAAGAGTGTGGTTTGCAAGATGATGTTGTAACCAGGATTAAGAAAGGAATGCTTCGGTGGTTTGGTCATGTGGAAAGAATGAAAAGGGAAAGAGTGACAAAGAAAATTTATGTTGCAGAAGTGAATGGCAGAGTCGGAAAGGGACGTCCTAGGCGAAAATTTATCGACCAAATCGGCGATTTATTGAAAACGGGTCAAATTAGAAGTACCCTTAACAGACGAGCATGTATGCGTAGGTGTATGGATGCGAAGGAGGCGAGAGAGGTGTGTCAGGATCGTGCCAAATGGAAGTCTGTAGTCTCTGCCTATCCCTCTGGGTGACAGGCGTGAGTGTTTATGTAAGTATGTATTTTCTATACAACTTTTCGAGGAGCTGATTGTCGGGACATTTTGAGTTTTGTCGGGAGTCGGGAGATCATTTAAAATGTCGGGAGAATCCAGACGAATCCCGACCATCTGGCAAGCCTACCTCTTACCGATACCGATGACGTTAACTAGTTTAACGCGATGGTGAAGTCATTCGAATAATTTTGTGGAACTAGCACTAGGCATACTGTTGAGAAACACTATTTTGGTCACTCAGGTCCAATATTCATTCTGCCAGAATGAATATATTGTCGGCAAATGTGAGTGACGTAAGAAATCATAATTCCACATCAGATTAGAGACCTCTTTACTCTTATGCGGACAGCAGGTTGTCCTGATGTGCGATAAAATAATTGGTGATATACCGTGAAGATCCGTCATGCAGCATGATAAATCACGCATCGCATGTCTTGCTGCATTGTCATCTATGGTACGCTTTAGCATCGAGTTTTTCAAACGTTTCTTGTTCTTGTTCGTATATTGAACATTCGTAATTTGAACATTCACTCGGAGCACTCCTACACAGTAAAAGTGCGATATAGTTACATTTTACATTACTTACCTCATTGAATAGGTTGTGTATATTAACATATGTGGACCCGTGAAAGTTTTGCTTTAACATTTCGTGTATGAAGCTCCGAAACATACTGGCATCATTCATGGCCAAGCTGCCCACGTCTGGCAACATATGCCAACATAACTTCCCGTTACGTGTTTTCGTACCATCTTCTATATCATCCATGATAATAATATATGCCATTACCTAAAAATAAATAGCAATATCAGTGACATGTCCCTATCCAACAAAAAGTTACTAAGGATGCGTTTTGTAATGCAAAACATTTTGTACCAACAATTGAAAGATTTCTTACCATTTGAACACAAAATGCTAAAATATATTGTTGAGTTTGTAATTCGCCTTTTACTTCTTCAGGTTTCCGGAATATCTCATGACATAGTATTGTCATTTCACTTTGTATAAGATTTCGTTCTTGTAGGTAGTATTCTGCAATCTAAGCACTGATTTATTAATTTAACAATTTTATATGCTATACATACTTTAAGAGAATTTGTAGTGATCCTTTTAAAGTGTTTTAAATATTTTTTAACAAAATCAATCGACAATTGATATGATATGTTTTGTTAGATATTACTTCAAAGTAAACAATACTACATAGTTATCTGCGATACTGGACTTACTCTTTTCATTCTATCCCTTAATTCTGCTGGTTTCAAAACGTTTATTGCCTGCACGCTCTTTTCTATCATAATGGGTATTGATTTTTGAAACTTCTCATAATCATTTCGCGATAGTATTTCTTTTGACACCGGAGCTGGACACCTAATATTCGAAAAAACAAAAAATAATCTTATCACATATTATTTCCAGGATCCCAAATCGGCGGTAATATCCTAATTTATATTACAAAAATTATAATAACTAACTTAACTAAAATAATAATTAAAATTATAATATTTACGATTAATACTAATTATATACAATATATACAATATATAAAAAAAAGAAACAATAATATAGAAAAACTAAAACTAAAAATTTAAATAGTCAAAAATACCTGTTCCCCGTGGTATAGTGCCAAGAACGCTGGCTGCGTTTCCTCGCTGAATAGCTATACTTAGCATTTGAGCGAGGAAAGAACCAGCCCTCTTGTCACCAGCAGCGACGACCAGTCGTGGATACAGTTCCTTTAGAAACTTCACTGCACGTGGACCTCACGGACCGATAGTCTCTACAGCAAATGGCACAAATATGTAGTCGTTTCTCAAAGACTCATATTTGCGCCATTTAATGAATTCGGCTGCCTCTGATGCCGCCCCGGCTCTAAAAGAGGTATCCTTGAGATGAGAGGCCGCCAAAGTGTCAACGCAAGTAGCATCCCACAAGGGGAATGCCAATCAGAGGGCCGAACGAGCGGCAAAGCTTGCCGAGGAGGAGCGCCACCCGGGCGATACGGCTTGGGTATCAGGCGAAGAGACGAGTGCGACTGGCGGCTCCGAGGTGGAGCGTAAGGCCAGATTCGTAAAGGAGGTGGAGGCCGCGATCAAGGTCGTGGCCTACAAGCAAAAGCCCTCCTCGAAGTTTAAGGCCATTCCCGGGGCCTCCGCCTCCATCATGGCGGCTGCGGAGGCCAACTTTGCTGGCGCCGGGCCTAATGCGGACGAGGTGGCGAAGGGCTCCCCCCCCCCCCGTCTCTGGACGCGGACGAGGCCCGAGTGTCCAGGCCCGTCAGATGCGCAGACCTGCGCATCATGGGTCTGGACGACTCGGTATCAGAGGAGGAGTTGGTGGCCGCCGTTGCCAGGTCCGGGGGGTGCACTACTGACCAGGTCAGGTCAGGCGCCATACGCCCGGACCAACAGGGTATGCATGCCGCCACGGTGCGCTGCCCTGTTACGGCGGCCAAAACCATAGTGGAGGGGTCGAAGGCTTCTGGTGGGCTGGGTCTCAGCGCGGGTTAAGCTGCTGGAGCCCAGACCTCTCAGGTGCTATCGCTGTCTCGTGGGGCACCACGTATCAGTGAGATGCGCCTCGGAGGTTGACCACAGTGGCCTTTGCTTCCGCTGCTGTCAGCCCGGACACATATCGGCGACCTGCTGCGCCACGCCGCACTGTGATGCATGTGCGGCGACCGGCAAGCTAGCCGATCACCGGGCCGGAAGCAAGGCCTGCGTGCCTCCCGCCAAGGCCAAGGCCGCGGGTAGGGTAGGGGCCAAAGCCGCCACCGCCTCTGTGGCCTCCGCCGCAGCCGCGACTGCCACTGCCACCGCTGTCACTGTCACCGCCGCCATCGCCGCGACACCGACGCCCGCAGAGGGGCCCCCCGTGGAGGAAGCTGAAATGGAATGCCTATAACGGCCCCATTAAGCTTTCTCCAGGCGAATATCAACCACTGCGCCTGCGCTCAGGATCTGTTGCTCCAGAGCATGGCGCAGTGGTCGATTAACATCGCTGTGGTCGCTGAGCCGTATTTTGTCTGGCCTAGGGAGGACTGGGTGGCGGACCTTAACGGCTCAGTGGCCATCATCTCTTCGGCCGCCGCCGGTACCCCGACCCTTGAAGGTGTCAGGAGGGGTCAGGGGTGCGTAGCAGCACGGTTCGGGGAGTTCGTCGTTGTGGGGGTGTACTTCTCCCCGAACCGATCTCTCGCCGAGCTCCACAACTCTCTTGCAGAGCTGAGAGCAGTCGTCGTCGGAAGTTATCCCCTCCCCGTACTTGTCCTCGGGGACTTCAATGCCAAGAACTTGGCTTGGGGTTCTCGTCGTACAGATGTGCGGGGTAGGATGGTGGAAGACTGGGCTCTGGAGACAGGCCTGGTCGTCCTAAATCGGGGTTCTGTCCCCACGTGTGTGCGGATGCGGGGCGAGTCGGTGGTGGACATCTCGTTCGCTAGCCCCGCTCTGTCGCCGCGTGCCATTGACTGGCGTGTCATGGAGGGGGTGGAGACCTACTCCGACCACCGGTACATCCGGTTTGATGTCTCCACCCAGCCCTCGAGCGCGCCAGTCCAACAGGCCCCGAGTGGTCCGCGTTGGGCGCTGAAGCAGCTGGACCGGGAGCTCCTCCTGGAAGCCTCGATCGTGCAGGCCTGGGTGTCATCACCGGACAGGCCTGCCGACGTCAATGATGAGGCAGGGTGGTTCCAGGAGGCCATGTCCGAGATATGTGACGTGGCAATGCCCCGCGTCCGGCCAGGAAGCGCCCGGCGTCAGGTGTATTGGTGGTCGCGTGAGCTGACGTCTCTGCGTGAGGCGTGTGTCGCCGCGCGGTACCTGTACGCCAGGAATCGCAGGCTCCGCATTCGTCCACCGAATGCGGCAGCCATTGAGGCAGAGCTGTACGAGGGATACAGAGCGGCGAAGACCGCCCTCCGGGAGGCTGTCCTGCGGGCCCGGGATCGGACCCGTGAAGAGATGCTGGAGACTCTCAACAGAGATCCGTGGGGGCGCCCCTACAAGATGGTGCGGGATAAACTCCGCACCTGAGCCCCCCGCTGACGCAAAGTCTCCGGCCCCAGCTCGTGGAGGACGTGGTGATCGCTCTGTTCCCTACGCGAGGGGAACATCCGCCCCCCGCCTATGGCTCCGCCACCTGCGGTGCCGGAAGCGGACCACCAGGACGACGACGACGACATCCCGGAAGGGACCGGGGTAGACCTGAGAGTGGCGGTACGTAGGCTCAAGGCCAGGAATACCGCCCCAGGACCCGATGGCTTGCCTGGCAAAGCCTGGGTCCTGGCCTCGGAGGCTCTCGGGCCCCGACTGGAGGGGCTCCTAAGCGCATGCTTGGAGAGAGGCCAATTCCCGCTTTGTTGGAAGACGGGGAAGCTGGTCCTCATTCGGAAGCCGGGGCGCCCTGCGGACTCTCCGTCCGCATACCGGCCCGTGGTGCTGCTCGAAGAGGTGGGCAAGCTCTTTGAAAGAGTCATTGCAAACCGCCTCGCCGAGCACCTTGCGGGGACGGGGCCGGATCTTGCGGAACACCAGTTTGGTTTCCGCAAGAGGCGCTCTACGGTGGACGCCATCATGCGCGTGAGAGCCCTCACGACGGGGGGATGCAGTGGCCAGAGGGGGGTTGTCTTGGCGGTGTCTCTCGACATCGCCAACGCCTTCAACTCCATGCCCTGGAGCTGCATTAGGGAGGCACTCCGGTATCACCGGGTGCCGACCTATCTCCGTCGTATAGTCGGGGACTACCTGACGGACAGGGCCGTCATCTACCCCGGTCGCAACGGTGAGTGGAACCGGCGAGAGATGTCGTGCGGTGTCCCACAGGGTTCGGTTCTGGGGCCACCTCTGTGGAACATCGGTTACGACTGGGTGCTGCGCGCCGACCTCCCTACCGGCGTCAGCGTAGTTTGCTACGCTGACGACAGGCTGGTAGTGGCACAAGGGGGGGTCGTACGAGGCGGCGGCGGAAACTATGACACGCGGGGTTATGATAGTCGTTGAGAGGATTCGGCAACTGGGTCTCGAGGTGGCTCTGCACAAGTCCGAGGCCATGCACTTCCATGGTCCTCGGAACAGGCCACCACCAGGATCCTCAATGATGGTAGGAGGGGTATCCATCGGCGTCGAGTCGACGCTGAAGTACCTAGGACTCGTCCTCGACGGCCGATGGAACTTCGTTGAGCACTTCCGACGTTTGGCTCCCAAACTGGAACGGACCGGGGCTGCTTTCAGGCGGCTCCTGCCGAACCTGGGGGGCCAAACGCCTCCTGCCGGAGGCTCTACGCGGGGATCGTGCGATCCATGGCCCTTTACGGGGCCCCGGTGTGGGCGCGTGGTTTAGCGCGGCTTGCCGTCCACCACCTGAACGCGCCCCAAAGGGTGGTCGCCGTGAAAATGGTTCGCGGCTACCGCACGATTTCCCGCGAGGCGGCGAGCCTCCTTGCCGGATTGCCGCCATGGGATCTGGAGGCGGTAGTCCTCGCACGCCTGCACGAATGGCGCGCGGAGGCACTATGCCGAGGGGAAACCCCGCTGCCGCGGCAAGTTGTCGCGCAGCGGATAGACTTCCGGCACGATCTCATGGCGACATGGAGACAGCGACTGTCGCAACCCCGTGCTGGGCACGCCACTATAGCGGCGATAAGACCCCTCTTCGAGGAGTGGCTTGAGAGACGCCACGGCATCCTCACCTTCCGCCTGACGCAGGTCCTCACCGGACACGGTGTGTTCGGGAGGTTCCTGCACCGAATCGGGCGGGAGGAAACGCCCGGGTGCTCCCACTGCGAGGATGGACCGGAGGACACGGTGGAACACACCGTGGAGGTGTGCCCTGCTTGGGCGGAGCACCGCCGTGGCGTCGTAGCGGCGATAGGCGGCGGCGACCTCTCGCGTCCGGCCCTGGTCGAAGCCATGGTCCGGAGCGAGACGGAATGGGATGCCGTCACCACCTTCTGCGAAGCAGTGATGCTAGCGAAGGAGGTGGCGGAGCGGGAGATGGAGAGAGCAGCAGCTTTCCTCCCCGGCCGCCGCGGGAGACGCCCCGGACGTCGGGGGCTACGTCGTGGCCCCCGGCCACCGTAGGCGCGGGCCTGTGGACGGCGAGCAATGGGTAGCTCGCCGTCCGTCCGTCTAACGACGACAGGCCGTGTCGACGGCGCGTTTTGTTCCACGCGCGCCTCAAAGAGCTGTCAGCAGCGTGAAGGGGCCCGTAAGAGCCAACGCCTGCCGGGGCTGCGGGCTGTTCGAAAGAGATAACGCGGCTCCGGAACGTAAGGGCACTGAAGGAACACGGATGGTTTTTAGTCATTAAAAGTCTGACACTCCCTTACGCTCCACCCAGAGCGAAAGGGGTCATTAGATGATTTTCCATCC